GCAGGATATCTCGCTGCCATGCCTTGAGAGAAACCGTTGGGATCTTGCCCGAGTTCAAGAAATTTTTCGACGACGGTGTCGAGACCATACCCGCAGGCCACGTGAAGATGTGATAATCCATCTTCGTCGATATAATTTACGTTGAATTTGTCGTAAATTTGAAATAGAGCAGAGATTACGGTGTAACAACAAATCTTTCGAGCAGCATGATGAATCGGTGTGGTGCGATTCAGCAGTGGCTTGCCGTCTTCATCTGCTTCGGGCTCGTCCTTGTAGCCGCTGCGAGCCACAAAATCTATGAATCGTTTTCCTGGTGTCTCTCCAGCGTCTTCATCTGCGTCTTCATCTGCGTCTTCATCTGCGCCTGTGACGGATTCCAACAAAAGCCAATTAATCGCTTCTTTCTGGAAGAAGTCTAGAAGATTTGGAAGTTCGCCTTTCCAATTGTTGATGACGGCAACGAGTTGATGAAGAAATTCACGTCGATCCTCTTGAATCTCCCACGTGACATTTTTCGACAAGCTCCCGTACACTTCTAAATATTTTCTACTATTGTAGCTTATCTTGGATTCGTTTTTGGACATGTTTGTATGCACTCACGAACACCAAAAAAAAATATTAAAACTTAAAAATTTCAATTTTTTTCACTAATTTGAAAAACACGTGGCGATGAAACGTCTTTTTACGTTGTGTATTGGTAACACGATCTGAACGACTTGACATGTGGGATTGAACTGCTTAGCTGCTATTGGATATTGGTGTTTGATGCCTTTCCAAAATGAAAGAGAAAGTTATGCAGGTAGTGGGCGCAGAGCATCACCCACTAAATTCGGTGCATTAGACATGCGCCGCCTCTGCGCATGTGTAATACGAGAAGTAGTTTTGAATCGGTATATTTGCTTATTCCAAAAAAACACAAAATATGACTGTTTTTTTAATTGCATATAAGTCTCAATAAATAAAGCTAAAGAATAATAAAATTTAAGTGCATTATTTATCGAGTAGTTCAATCTATCTATGTATCTCGTGTTTATAGCATACGCGACCAAAATGACAATAGTATATGGCTATGGCAACGCCTCTACTTCGCTATAGACTCTCACTTTCTAGCAATTGAATGTTGAGGGACTCTGCTTGTAAAAACACGTCGTTTCAGACGAGCGACCCGCACGAACATGTTTCGACATGAGTTCGGAAAATGTGTGGTAGACGCGGGAGCTTGTGAAAAAGTTCATGTTAAATTTCTTTCACCGTCATATATATAGTAACAGAATTAGACACTTGTACCAATAATTATAAACAAGAATTCGATTTTTTCAAATGTAATTGACTAATCTTAATTACCGTAAAACTTCGTGAGCAATAAGTTTAGAACATGTCAGAATTGAAAAATAATTTCTTACATCTGTAGAACCTATATTTTAACGACTATAAACTCCACTGTAAATAATTGAACTGAAATAAAAACTACATTCTATAATTATTAAGGATATCACCTTTAAAATGAGATGTCGATGAACTTGATCTCACTAACAGGAGCCAAGTTACAGAGGTTGAAAGATAAAAAAAGGAGGTGTCCATGTGAGTTTCGCATTAATAAGATAAAAATAGTATGAAAAACTTATTGGTTTTTTATTGATTCAATGAAAAAGGTGTTTCATTTCAATCGAGCTGAGTATATTTTTCCTTTTAGAAAGATATATAAATATTAAATATATGCGTAGAGTGCATAGTCCATAAAACGTAATAATCAAATATTTGATCAAATATTCGCAATTGAATTGTAAGCAAATTTTTCATTTAAGTAATTGACCATCGGGCGAACTTGAACTGTAATCATACGTAATCTTTAAAAAACCTCAAAAATTGTCTAATAAATAGTTTCTATAAATTTTATGAATTTTTTTAGAGTCAACTCAAATTCGATGGAGTCTCATGTTCATTATCACGTTTATTGCGTTTGTTATTTTTACAATATACGTGTACTGTTTTTTGGTGTCTTATCAAAGAGGATTAATGTCCAAATTTCTTTTTGCACTTGTCTCATGACTAATATCAGTGACCTTCATGCACAATTCTTTGGCGATTCAATAAATTTAATTTAATTCCATATATCCTCTCGCATTTTAGTCTTCGCGACCACCGTGGACTGTGTTTTGGTGTACGAACAAATTTGATTTTTTTACAAATGCCTTGTCGCATTTGTCGCATGCATAGTCTTTTCGGCCTTCGTGGACTGTTTTTTTATGGCACAGCAAATTCGATTTTTGTCCAAATTTCTTCTCGCATTTATCGCATGCAAAGTCTTTTCGGCCTTCGTGTACTGTCTTTATGTGTACGAGCAAATTCGATTTTTCTCCAAATTTCTTCTCGCATTTATCGCATGCATAGTCTTTTCGGCCTTCGTGTAATGCCTTTATGTGTACGAGCAAATTCTTTTTGGCTGTAAATTTTTTCTCGCATTTGTCACATGCGAAGTCTTTACGACCCTCATGGACTATTTTTTGGTGCTCTAATAATTTTGATTTATGCGCAAATTTTCTCTCGCATTTATCGCATGGGAAATCATAGCGACCTTCGTGAAATACTTGTTGGTGTTTGAGTAATTTCAGTTTAAATGCAAATTTCTTCTCACACTTGTCACATGCGAAATCTTTCCAATTTTCGTGTACTGTCTTGTAGTGGGTGACCAAGTGACATTCATGTATAAATTGTTTGTAGCACTTTTCGCATTTGAAATCTCTACGATTTTCATGTACTGCTCTTTGGTGGCTGCGCAAATTCGATTTTCTCCCAAATGTCTTCTCACATTTGTCACAAGCGTAATCTTTCCGACCCTCGTGTGTTATATTTTGATGTAAAAGCATATCGAATTTTCGTGTAAATTTTTTCTCGCATTCATTGCATCTAAAATCTTTGCGACCTTCGTGGATTGTCCTTTGGTGTATGAGCAAACCCGATTTTTGACCAAATTTCTTCTCGCACTTTTCACATACGTAATCTTTGCGACCTTCATGGACTGTTTCTTGGTGTCTGAACATTTTCGATTTATTTACAAATTTCTTCTCGCAATTGTCACATGCATAATCTTTGCGACCTTCATGGACTGTCTTTTGGTGTCTGAGCAATCGTCCTTTAGTTGCAAATTTATTTACACATTTTTCACATGAGTAATCTCCGCGATCCTCATGGGTTGTTTTTTTGTTTTGTATCAAATTTCTTTGATGCCCAAATTTCTTCTTGCGCTCATTACAAGTGAAACGTTTACGATCTTCATGGACTGTTTTTATGTGCAAGAGCAAACTATGTTTAGTCTCGAATCTCCTCGCGCACAATTCACATAAGTAATTTTTGAAAACGTCGTGGAATATTTTTTTGTGCTTTAGTAAAGTTGATTTATTTTCAAATTTTTTCTCGCACTTGTTGCACGTGAAATCTTTACGATTTTTGTGTACTAATTTTTGATGCGTCAACAAACTCGATCTTTTCACGAATTTCTTGTCGCACTGTTCACATGCAAAATCTTTACGGATTTTGTGTTCTGATATTTGGTGTCTACTCAAATGACTTCGAAACTCAAATTTCTGCTCACATTTACTGCATGCATAATTTTTCTCTATATTATGAATCGTGTCTCGATGTGTCATTATACTTGATTCCAGTGGAAATGCTTCTTTGCAAATACCAAAAATGTATTTTTTGTCGTTTGAAACAACATCGTCGTGCTTACTTGAATTATTTTCCGAGACATTTTCGTTGGGTTTCTCATCACTTTTTTCCATTTTAGTATCCGAATTAAATTAAACAATCGATCCTTCTGTTTAGTACTAAGAAAATGAAATAGGTAAAGTGTATTCTCTGGTATTACCGGTTGTTTCATTGGGAAATACAATATTCAAACTAATTTGTTTCTACTGTAAACAAGATCAGTGATTCAAGAATCAACGTCAGGATCATTCAGGATCGTTTATAATTAAGCTGCCGATTTATCTGTTTATTTATTGTTCGTACAATATTTGAACCAGTTTAACATTCTATGATAGTCACTCGAAGGTTTAAGGCATAGAATCAGCTTTTTCAAATCCCTGGGTTACTATTTTTACGTTGCAGCGGATATGGCCTATACTCTAAACAAAGTAAAAAGGGAGCATATTTTGAAGTATTTTTCAGTTTAGGCAGAATTTACAGAGAGCAACATTTCATTCATTGACTTACTTGAAGTAAAATTCTTAAGAAATTAGAGATGTGCCAATTTACCGAATACATTCTTTTTTAAAAGGAATAAATAGTTTAACAGATTAATTTGTTATTTAATAATTCAATGAACAAAGTTTTCAATTAAAACCATTGAAAATAAATACATAAATAAATACAAATGAGTTAATAAATTTACTCAACAAATGGAAATTGTATTATTGACTCACCTGAATATACTTTCCCCAAAAAAAAATAATGCAAAGAGAAAATACTTATGATATATTAAAAAAAAACAAGATAACTTTTTTGCAAGTTTAGAAATTGTTTTCTTATGTCACTCAGTTTAATTGAAATTTAATTTTTCCGTTATAGATTTAAATAAAATATTTAATATTATAAATATATTTTTAACTTCAAAATCGTTAGTTCATTAGCATATAAATACAGAAAGTATGATGTAGCTGTTTCGAGATAAATACATTTCTATGAAATATATTTGTAAGTACATTATATTCACATTACTAATTTATGTAATTAATTTATCGGCTGAGTCTGAACTGCGCTCACTGTTTTTTTCAGATTTGTCATCTCTCTTAGCTCTATACTTTAATTTGATATATGCAGTGCACTTTTGTTTAATTCAATTTTTCTCAATTATTTGAATTTAGTAACATAAAAAGAAAAATTCATAATTCATGTATCGTTAAATTTAAGTACTATAAAAAATTTAAATGCATTACAAAAATACTCCGTTGAAATTTTATTTCAAGTTATTTTTTGACTAGGATTATCGTGTAGTTTGCTTGTAGTTGCATTTCATGAAAATGATGAAATAAATTTTATTGCATAAACTCAAGAATATAAAAATATCTTGATAAATGAATATGGTTAACTAACACTGTGTTAATTAAAAGAAATATATAAAATCCTCCATTAAAAATTCTAAAAGAATATCTAGAAAATTTAACAAGCCACAGATCTCTCTCTACCTCAAGATTTTAGAGTTTTTAAATAGACTTAAGGATAATACAATTCGTTTTTCGTGAAATTATTTTAAAAAAACTACAGTAATAAAAGTTCCTGTTATCACTTTTCAATCTTGAATATGTATGTAGCTTTTAAAATTTACAAAGCACTACTCATCACAAAGAGCTTTTTCATGAATTAATATGAATATTTTCCTCTTCATAAAAAGCTATATTAAGATTAATTTCTATTGATTTAAGCAAAACAACGTTGTTATTAGTCTGTTTGCAATGTTTCATTGTTGCAAAAGTCAACAAAGTGGTATTAAATCAGAGTCGACTAGTTTTTCTTCAATCATTTTTCTTGTCTTTTGTACTAGAAGCTTCAGTTGTTCCACTCAATTTTTCTTTGTTTGCTCCTGTGACTTTATTTTTTGCTTGCTGTTGGCGCAATTGAGCTCTTTTGAGACTGGTCATTAATTGACTCGATTGGTACAGCCAGCTTGCCTAAATGGAAACAACGACACACATTAAGTACAAATTCATTCTATCAAAGTATGTAAATAATGAGCTTTTAATAGCAATCTTACCACCATGATCATACAGATCATCAACAGAGGCACGGAAAAAACTATTGATATGAATAACCCTTTAGAATCAAAGTATTGCTGCCTAGAAAATACCCTGCAATGAAAAAGTTGAAAATTATTATTTGAAAAGATAATTAATTTGGTTCGACTTTTTTTTAAACTTACATCCAATTGGAGGCAGCTATCTCATTTAGGCTTTCAGAAAAGTACACTAACAATACTAAAAGCAACAAATAAGTTTATGAGAATTTGGATTCACACAAAAATGACAATTTATTCATTTGCATAGATTACTTACATAGAACTAGGAATAATAAGATCTGGAAGTTTGCGTAATTTCTAGTTAACAATGCAGTCATAGTGATACCTATGTGAAATACAACTAATAACATGAGCCATGGGTCCCTCCATTCGATCTGTAAGAAAGATAGTCATTTATTCGGATATTCTACAGCATAAACATTGATCGAAAATCATTCGAAAGAAAGTTTTTTACAAATCAATGCTCGATCAGCATTCAGGTATAATCTGCATGCAAGCTAGCATTCGCATAGAAAAAAAAAGAGGAATACTTGAGGGGCTTCGCTCGACTAAATAAATTATGCAGCAAATGCATTTACGAAGAACATAGCAGCACACTCACGCTCGCACCTACACATCGGCGCACGAACGCGCACGCACGCACACAAACACGCGGAGAAAAAAGCATCGAAAAAAGCCTTCGATAACATCGTCAGCGTGATTATTCGATGCGAAAAAAAAGCCGTCATCCTTCGAAAAATCAACTATCGTTTTCGTTCACGCATATGTATACGCGCGCTCCAAAACTCACGCACTCATGTACACCACACATTTTTTTTATCTAGAAATCCGATCGACGTCCGAAAATGTCTATATCGTTTCGCACAAAGAAAAACGATCATACGTACCGGCAAACGCGCATAAACTTTCACTTTTCGTGTGTGTATATAAATGCACTTGTTTGCAGCCACCGCTCCAAACACCCATGCCAGAGAGAAGCGGTATCATTATAAATACCTTTCTAACCTCAACGCTGTCAGACGCAGTAGATGGATAGTACATAGCAGTAGTTAAAATTGCGAGGGTGTATAGAAAATGAGGGTACAGAGGGAAAGAGACACAGAGGAGATAAACTTACGCTCTGAAGAAAGGGCCAGAGGCCGTCTATGCTGCCGGCGGCTATGACTTGTGGATCCGTCATCGTGCGTGATATTATTGTTATGTCGCGCTCCGTCTGTGCTGCTGCTGCTGCTGCTGTTTCGACCGACACGATTTGTGTATCATATATGTGTATACATGTAATGTTAACGTCCGTGTCAATGTGTGCCAGTGGTATTAATGGGAATACTTATAATGACATTTACAATCACTGCGCAAAACACAGGTCACACGCACACACTTGAAAACAAAAACAACAACCGATGGGTAAGAATTCAGCCGATAACTGCGGAGGCAGCAGGCAGCAGCAGCAGTAGTTTTACGCTCGAGCCTCGTTTGTATTATATTATTATGCTTCTGCGGCACTCTTAACTGGACAATTTTTTGACGAGGCTGTATATAGCCTAGGTGTCTGTGTCGTGTGGGGTGGCGCGCGCATCCACGCGCGCAGCAGAAGAGAGAGATTGTGTGTTTATCGTATGTAGGATGCACTGCAACGCGGCGTCGACGCGATTTTTTAAATTAAATGTTGGATAATTAATTATGGTCCGAAACGATTCGATCGGTACCCACCTGCCGCGAATGTCGTTCCGATCGTTGCGCACATTATTATTATCATAGATATAATATAAAAACAGAGTATCGATTGGATCGTCGTGTGGGAGTCTCAATTATGATATAGCTTTTACAATCGTCGCGATAAGGTAAATACTAATTAAGCGACTTTGCTGACTTTTATTAATGGATAATTGACAATTGTCGATAAGTCAGAGAACGCACTTGTATATGCGACACGATCGCCGCGGCGATATATTATACCGGCAGTTATCACATTTTATATAAAAGGTTACTGATGTCCGATTCATTCGCATCGTCGATTACGTCGATTTCGCGCTGTTTTTTTTTGTACGCGGGAGATTTTACCGCGCGGAGTGTTTTTCGGCCGACGAGTTTGCTCTTTCCATTATATACTTCTTTATTTCTCTCGTCGCTTACTTATTCGAGCGCGAGCGTCGAAAAATTGAAACGCGCATCGATGTTTTTCGGCGCACACGCGTGGGTGTGTGTGCGTGTATTATGCGGCACGATCTCTCTTTCTGCTCAGGGATCAAAGCAAAACAAACACAGACGCGCGAAGTTCGAGAATCGGAGTGCCTCCGCGGCTGCACCGCGAGTAAATATAACAAAATCGCCTCCATGCCGCATTATAAATAAATGAAGAAACAAAAAATTGGCACCCATGAGAGAGCGTGAGCCGTCTTTTTCGCAATGACAAGTGCTGCTCCAGCGTACGATGAACGATGAATTCTCCCATATTAATACTAACACGTTAATATTTTGCTGCATAATTTAAATAAATCCTTTACAAATGACACTGCACGCAGACGATGATTAATGCGCGCGACGATTCGATAAATAAAAACTGCCGAATCGACGATTCATCGCTTACCCCTCGATAAACACGTGAAATAATGTATCTGTGTATTACATTCGTGTTATGTACTTTACAAAAATGACTTTCTCCGTTTTACTTTCGTTTTTAATATTGACTATAGCCGCTCGGCGATATATATCTTTATCACGCCAAAAGATCGACTCTCGGCTGTGATCGATATGTCATTATATTTTTATATACCCGATCTGTATCTGTGCGCGCGCGCGAGCGACGATAATACCGGTAGCGAGTCGAAAAACGCATTATTTTATATACATGTATTCACGTTTTGTGTGTCGATCGCGATCGATTATTGTACGAAATCGGCGAAAAATATACATCTTGATAGTGAACGAAAGGCGCGTTATCGCGACCGCGACCGATTTTTTCTCTCTCTTATTAGGAAATTTTATTTAATTATTTTCGTCCACATTATCAAAGCCGAGATTTTCCGTTTTCAGACGATGCGCATCGTGCAGACAACACTGTACACGTACCGATCTTTTACCGATCTCATCGTGTTTACGCTTAAATAAAATTCACGCGTGTCATCCACACCTAGCACTATTGTAAGAGCGCATAAATTTTTTCAAATATATATCGCTCGATCTCTCTTCACTCGCAATGACAAATCCTTAAAATCAAGTCTCTCCGCGCCGATCCTCGAATTTATACGCCTTCGAACACCACGTGCGTGTTCAGAGAAATGTCAAATCGCGAAAAAAAACAACACGAGACTATGGTCTTATCGACAATACAAAAGTACTCATAATTACGCATTAGTAAAGTGTGTTTTGCGAAAAGAATAAACGAGCGATAAATGATGTCAATCGATCCAAGCCGCGTACATAATTGACACACACCTCCAAATTCTAAATGTAGAGCAAAAATCGGAACACCAAGAGCACACCATTACAATAAGATACGATATAATAGTAATTGGCAGCTCATCGTGACCCACACACTTACTCAGGCAGTCTCTTTTGTACTTGTTTTCAATTCCTTTCGGGCGGGTAACTCGCACAAAAAAAAAGAAGATCGTTACGACGTTATTATCGCTTTATAGACGAGCGAGCGATTGCCTGCTGCTATTATAATTATTATTACATACGGGCACAGCGCAGCTTTTTATCAATACGCGTCTCTTTCTCTTTCGCGCGCGGATAATGTGTTATAAGGCAATTTTCACTGATTTCAGCTACTCGAGCGAGAGAGAGAGAGAGCCGAGACGCGCTCGTATGTATACAAGTGTGTGGCTGTGTTAGAGCCCCGCGACACTTGACTCTCTGTTATATTCGAGAAGCATAAGGAGGAGGAGTGAGGAGGTGGTGGTAAAAAGTGACCGACGTCTAAGAGTCTCTCTCTCTTGCTCTGTCTTATACCGTCCGCTGTTGAAAGACGGTTAAAGGCTGTATCTCTCGTTGCTCGGCGCTGCAGAAGCGCACCGACGATCGACGACGCAGCCGCACAGACGTAGCCTAGCTAGCCAAGCAGCAGTTCTCTGCACCCGTTCGCGCAAGTTCACGTTTTCGCTCTCGTTGGTTGATTTTCGCTCAGGATGGCCGACTTCGTGCTGAACACCACCGGCGAGCTCGACGCCGAGTCCAAGGCGCTGGCCGTCAAGGAGCTGAGGGAGACCGAGGAGAACGTCAAGAACGGCATCGAAAAGCTCCGAAAGCTGCTCGAAGGTACACAAACACATACACAACATGACGCTCCCGGATCATCCCTCGTTCGAGTCTTTTTTTTTCTTCATTTTTGATAACTGTCGCGCGATCGGTAATCGGTAATCGGTGACTCAAAATTTATATATATCTCCTGTAAAAAGGAAATTACGGGGGTAGGAAATTGCAAAAGTTTAATAATCAGCTCCGTGTGGTCATCTCATGCGAGTGCGTAAATGTGTGCCGTACTGTCCGCGTGGAATATTTGAGAAAGACAGAGAAAGTGTGAGAGACCAATTGATAAGGGTCGATCGGCGAATCGCATATTACTTCACCAACTTTATCAGCGTGTCTTACATTACACCAGCTCGTGAATATAAATAAAAAACGATCGTGTTCAAAATGAAAAAAAAAAATCTGAATGAAGAAACAAATTGGCTAACGATGAAAAATCGCCGATATAGATCGCGTTTCCTTACCCTCTCCCTCCCGTTACGAGCTCGGAAGCGATTATTTGAATTTGCGCGAATTCAAGACAGAGAGAAATAACAATTTTTTTTGTATTTCTTATTAAAGTTACAGCATACATGTGTGTATATCGCATCGACAAGAATGTCTCCGATCGATAAGAGCTTGTGCCTCTCTCTCTCTCTCTCTTATCTCTGCGGTTGAGGTTCCTCAAATACACACTTGCCGAGCTCGGCCGTACAAAAATACGAATTATAACGATCGCAGAGCGTCGATGCATATACATACACATACAATAATAACGATCATTGCGAACGTTATTATTATTATTAACTGCCGCGGATGAATTTGTTTATTATACACGTATACTCGCTAATCATATGTCTCTCGTTCTTATTGGCAATTCTCTCTCTCTCTTTTTTTGTGCTTATGGTATAATATTATAAAATCGAGCAACATAGTGTGTATATGTACGCGTTGCGTCGATTTGTAACCGATTTCGAGCACAGTCGCTCGCTCCGTGTCATAAACACGCAAAGAAATGAGGGAGAGGGAGGCCGGGGTCATGCAAGATAATCGCCTTTCGCGCACACGCATTCGCGATGTCTCATTTGTTTAGCGATACACATATTAATATACATAATATAATATCGTAATTATAATTCTATCGAAAAATGACGCGAATTTCTTTCCGCGCAAAAATCGGCACGACGCGACGCGACTTTGATCGATCCTCTTTTGTCGGAGGCGCGAAATGCACTCTCATTCGCGGATGGACAAACAACGCACCTCGTCTTACTCACAATTAGCATGATGCGATGCCGGCTCATTTATTGACCGAGTGACTCACATATTTTATAAAATAATGCGGCATCACGATCGACGACGCTCGTCGTGCCGAAAAATTTCCCCTTTTCTTCGAGATCGACAAAAAATGCATGCATCGATCGCGGTTAACATTAATTCTTTATCGCCTGCGTACGTATATATGTGAGATCGAAGCCGCGAGATAATGCAGTGCGCGCGGCACGAGTTTATAATTGTCGGGAAATAATAATTAATATTATTATAAACGCGTCGCCGATAAACCGCGGCTAATGTAACTTTTTTTTCGTTCTTTCGAATCTTCGAATTTTTTTGTCCTTCTCGCATTGTTATCCCGCAAGGCTGACTTTGCCTGAATAACCGCCAATTATATCATTTTTTTACCCTCGTACACGCGCTCATTGTTTCAAAAAATTAATTTCCAATACCGGTACTTAGACGCGCTCGAGGATCATCCGTACTGTCTTTTTTTTTTTGTTGACACGTGTTTGTAAATGCTTTCTAGTATACATTACGTCAGCTTGTTTACGGTTGATCCTCGAGCGCATATGTATGCATGCAAGTGCTGAATGCGTAAAGATGCGCTGTGCGCTTTCATTATGTATTAACGCCCATTATGACACAAACGCGCACCAGTGATTAATCTTGTTACTTATCGCTTATATTTCATTTGCCCACATGGGAGACCATTTTAGCTTTGGGTCGGATTACATAAGCCGCAGCGAGCGTTATGTTAATTCGTTATATCGACCTTTTTGCAGAAAAAAAATTTTCGCCGCTCCGCAGGACGACGTGCACATACTAAACGCGCCGTGTACACGTTCAAAAGCCATAAGTTTATGTAATGGTGTGTTCTATGCCTAGGCATACAAGCGTGTATGTGTGCTGCTTTTGACATAACGCAACACAAATCAATTTCATTAGTCGACAAAAAGAAAAAAAAATAAATTTTATACATCACATATTTCGTGAATTATCAATCGTGTATATCCGAATGATGATAATAGTCGTCGTCGTCGTCGATGCTACTACGTGCTGCATGCGAAGTTCGTTATGGCGAGGTCCGAGCGCGATCGGTTCTCTCTCGCGAATTTTAACGAAGACGCGCGGAGCTCCAGCGGCATACGACATCGAGCTAATTCGAGGACGCGCGGATCGATGCTATACGTCGCGAGAGAATACAAAAAAAAAATGCAAAAATCGACGAGCTACTCGGGATCGACGAATCATCCTTACGAGTCGCACGCCAAGTTCGTATAATACCGATCGTAAAGGAAGAGAGATAGAAAAAAATGTATAATTCCGAGAAATTGCAAATAAAAAAAGGCAAGAATCCCGATGCGCAATTTTTTTGACGAATAGATAGATTTAAGGATAATAAGGTGTGTGTCTTTGGTTGTGTCGCGAGATCGTGACCATGCGAGAGATGCGGTGACATTTATTGTGTATAATTAAATTATTTTAAAAGTAATATTATGCGACCAATTTTTCAGTTAGATTACAAAAAATTCAAATGTTTAGTAAAAATGCTCGATATTACACGGCTGATTTTTGACCAACTAAAAACTATTGATCATAAGATTCAGACCAAAAGAGTAAGGATATTTTCATCATTTGATAATAATGCTTGACGCTTTATTTTGTTATCTAATGATCTTTTCTCTGACTTTGAATGTACAAATTACCATTCGAACACTATTTCAATGGTTATTTTTGATTTTTTGCCCAATGTTTTAGATCGGAAAAGTATTTGAAATCGACTTTTACAGATCCGTGCCCAGACTTATGTACAGTTATGTTTACTTTGCCACTTGCAGATTTACAGCTAAAGCTACACTCGCCATCTAACGGTGGAGTCTCAAATTAGTAATTTCGTATTTATAGTGGTAGAAAACTAGTCTACACTTTTTAAACCGATTAAATTGTCATTTTCGGATCATTTAAAATTTGTAACATAATTGTAATAAAACATTCACGATAATAGCAAACTAATTCATGGTTATGTATTATCCAACTTTTTGAATGGTCATTTTTTGGAGATCAGATTTTCTTATAAAAGTCGAGAATTCAACAGAAAGCATGTCAATGCTCGCCGATCCTTGATGGCTTAATCCTTGCATCATTTTGATCCGCTATGCTAATGCCGAACTCGAATGCAAGCTCGATAAGAACCGACCGCAACCGAAAATTATATATACACGCTCTTCTTTTATTCTCTCTCTCTCTGCATCCTCGCGTCATCAAACCGCAGGTGTATAACGATCCTCGACATTGTATATTATTACATACGCACGCTGAAAATTCTCGCGTCGTCTTTCGCACGAGGGTCGCGCGTGACACGCATTCCATTATAATAAAACGAAGATCTTTTCCATCAGAGGACAAGACGATCTACTTCGCCACCGACGACGAGTTTCTCATGGTGTTTCTGCGGCCGTGCAAATTTTACCCGGAGTCGGCGCACGCCCTCATGAGGCGCATCGCCGAGTTCAAGGACAAGCACGCCTCGCTGCTCAACAATCTCATGCCCGAGGACGAGCGCGCGGCCTTCCTCGAGAACAACGTCGTCAACGTGCTCAAGGGACGCGACCACAAGCGGCGCCGCGTGATGATCGTGAACGCGGGCAAGACCTGGGACCCGTCCAAGGTCAGCGCCGATCAGATGTTTCGCATATTCTATCTGATTCACGAGGCGGCGATACTCGAGCCCGAGACTCAGGTAAGTGTGGCACCGACTTTTCGATATGATATTTATCGTTATCATTATTATCATTATATTTTTGAATTTATTCGTAGATTCACGGAGTCGTCGTGATCATGGACTTTGAGGGACTGTCGATGAAGCAAGTGATGGGCCTGACACCGGCCTTCAGTATGCGCCTGCTCAGCTTCATTCAGGATGCCATGCCGCTCCGTCTCAAAGAGGTAAGCGTGTCTATTTGATTCGTTCGAAATTATCAATTATTTTTATATTTATTTATTTGAAAAACAAAAAAAGAACTGGAAAAGAATTGCGTAAAACTTGTAGGTGATTTCAATTTCGAATGGAAGAAAATCATTATTTATTGGCCCAGTAATCACTTTGAATTGAATGAAAAAGTTCTAGACAATCATTATTATCAAGAAATCTCAAATTATTTTATTTTTCGTTCAAATTATGATTTTTTTATTGTAATAACGTGATGAGCTCGTAGATAATAATGATATACATAATCAATTAGATGTGCATAAATTTTCTTCTTGAAAGTTTCGATCTTTAATGTTCTGATTGATAACTTTTCTGTAACTTCTCAAAAGTTGGTTTTCGCGAAATTCTTGTGCATTGTCGAATGATCATTTTTTTCCAATATCTTGCTGCACTTGAAAATTCCGATCTTTCTATTTACTACAATAAGTCTTCGTGAATTAAATTTTCGCCCCTCAGTTATGCATGAAACTATTCAATGATAATATAATTTTTTTTATATTCTGTGCATTTCGGAAATATTTCGATGGCGGCAGTCTTTGTGTGTTCAATCAAACTTTTTTTACCACTATTTAAAATTTTTCCTTATTCTTCGCGTTTGCATACTTCGATTATTAAGTGAACCAGATCTAAGTGCCTCAACAGATTCCTCTTCTGCCCGAACGACCTGCTACATTCGCGTGTTCAATTTTTTCATGGACTGTGCCAATATGTTGATCTAATTAATTTTTTACACCAAAAGACTTTCCACACTGTTGGCACAAGTGTTCTTTGAGTTTTGAATGAGCTGCATCTACGTGCTTCATTAAATTAAGTTTTTTTTCATAAGCTTTTCAACATTCTGTGAACATGTGCTCATTGAGATCCCAATGAACTTTATCAACGTGTCTCAGTAAATCACTCCTTTATCCAACAAACTTGCCACACTCTTCGAATTTGTGATCTTTGCTTTTTTCATGAACTGATGTTATGTGTCTATTCAAATTTTTTTTATAACCAAAGGACATTCCACATTCGTCACACATGTGCTCTTTGAGTTGTAAATGAATTACATCTATATGTTTCAACATATTATGTCTATGTCCAAAAGATTTACCACACTCGAAACACTTGTGATCTTGGATTTTTTTGTGTACAGTGGCAATGTGCCTAATCAAGCCTTTTTTATTACCGAAAAATTTTTCACATTCTTTACACATGTGTTCTTTGAGCTTCAAATGAACTATACCAATGTGATCCATCAGATCACCCTTACGTCGGTAAGACTTGCCGCACTCTTCGCATTTGTGATCTTTGCTTTTTTCATGAATTGATGCTATGTGTCTATTCAAGGTATTTTTCTCACCAAAAGACATTCCACATTCTTTACACATGTGCTCTCTGAGTTTCAAATGAATTAGATCTATGTGCCTCATAAGATTACTCTTCTCTCCAAAAGACTTGCCACATTCTCCGCACTTGTGATCTTTGCTTTTTTCATGAATTGATGCTATGTGACTATTCAAGTCTTTTTTATAACCAAAGGACATTCCACATTCTTTACACATGTGTTCCTTGAGTTGCAAATGAACTACATCAATATGTCTCAACATATTATTTCTTTGTCCAAAAGACTTACCACACTCGAAGCACTTGTAATCTTTGATTTTTTCATGAACTGCTGTTACGTGTCTATGCAAGCTCCTTCTGTAGCCAAAGGATAATCCACATTCTTTACATATGTGCTCTTTGAGTTTCAAATGAACTATATCAATGTGATCCGTCAGATCACCCTTACGTCCGTAAGACTTGCCGCACTCTTCGCATTTGTGATCTTTAATTTTTTCATGAACTGTGGCAATGTGTATATTCAAGATACTTTTCTTACCAAAGGACATTCCACATTCTTTACACATGTGCTCTTTGAGTTTCAAATGAACAAAATCTATGTGCTCCATAAGATAACTTTTTCGCCCAAAATACTTGCCGCACTCTTCGCATTTGTGATTTTTGCTTTTTTCATGAATTGATGCTATGTGTCTAGTCAAGGTAATTTTCATACCAAAGGACATTCCACATTCTTTACACATGTGCTCTTTGAGTTGCAAATGAATTAGATCTATGTGCCTCATAAGATTACCCTTCTTTCCAAAAGACTTGCCACACTCTTCGCACTTGTGATCTTTGCTTTTTTCATGAATTGATGCTATGTGACTATTCAAGTCTTTTTTATAACTGAACGATTTTCCACATTCTTTACACATGTGTTCCTTGAGTTGCAAATGAACTACATCTATATGTTTCAACATATTAATTTTTTGGCCAAAAGACTTACCACACTCGAAGTATTTGTAATCTTTGATTGTTTCATGAACTGTGGGGCCACATTTTGGGCTCATGTGCTCTTTGATTGTTTTATTATCCATTTTTCGATGGAAAAAGTCAACTGAGTTATTCAAGTTAATTATAACTGTAAGTAGTATCGCAATTTGTTGAGCTGCACCGAATGTGTTTTGTTGCAAAAACTCGATTAAAGATCTCTTGGCTAAGAAACAGTTAATTTGGATGTATTTTGAAATACAGATGACAACTATTTTTCCTCGATGTACGTATAGATCACCGATCACGTCAATTGAATCGATAAATTTATTTATTATTGTAACAACGGTTACTGATTTAAATTAAACTTATATTTAATCTGTGCCCGAATTTGGAACTTTTTTGTAACGTCGTAACTAAACGTGACTTGTATTGGAGAAAAGAGAAACGAAGTATCGATTACTGTTAATTTGTACAAAATGTTGTCAAAATTTTGTTTACGTTTGAACTGTAATATCATACTATCTTAATTTGAAAGTGCGAGTTTAATTCGAATTACTGATTTGCCCATTATGATAATCACTAGCACAGTGATTACTGTATGATTGAGGATATTGTATACAATTATTATAACGATGACATCTACGTACTTTTCAATAACTTTTCCGAGGTTTGAAAGAGTATTTATTCTTTGTCGAAATTACATTTATTTTTCATTGCATATTTAGCTCGTAGCATAATCAATTGGTTTTTAAATGAGTGCTCTTCTTTTGTTTAAAAATTTTCTTTCGAGCAGTAGTCTTTAAATTTTCGATGATTGGCGATCTGTGTCATTTCAATTTTTTGTGATAGCAAAATTTTGGTGCTATGTCAAATGATTACTATGTCTTAAAATAATGCCCCAATTGAGATTTCCAATTTTTCGATAAATCGTAGCGAACCATTATGAATTCATTTTTTGCTTGATACGAAAATTTAGGGTAAGTGTGAGATTTATAAAACTCATTGCTAAAATAATATTTTATACATCATAGGCTTTGTTGATATTATTTCAATAGACTTTCTTCCTGTGATTAATTAAACTTTTACCACTACTGAAAATTTTTCCGCAATCTTCGCGTGTGCATTTTTTGATTTTTGAGTGAACTAGATCGATGTGCCTCAACAGACTACCTTTCTGTGCGAAAGACTTTCCACACTCTTCGCACTTGTAGTCTTTTCTTTTTTCATGAATTGATGCTATGTGTCTATTCAAGATAGTTTTCGTACCAAAGGACATTCCACATTCTTTACACATGTGCTCTTTGAGTTGCAAATGAATTAGATCTACGTGCCTCATAAGATTATACCTCTCTCCAAAAGACTTGCCACACTCTACGCACTTGTGATCTTTGATTTTTTCATGCACTGTGGAGATGTGTCTATTTAAGTCTTTTTTATGAACAAAAGATTTTCCACATTTTTTGCACATATGCTCTCTGAGTTTCGAATGAACATGATCTATGTGCTGCGTCAAAGTAAACTTCACTCCAAACGATTTGCCGCACTCTTCGCATTTGTAATCTTTGATTTTTTCATGGACTGTAGCAATGTGTCTATTCAAGACACTTTTCGTACCAAAGGATAATCCACATTCTTCACACATGTGCTCTTTGAGTTGCAAATGAACTATATCAATGTGCTTCATCAGATCACTCTTACGTCCGTAAGAATTTCCACATTCGTTGCATTGGAGTTCTTCAATTTTTTCATGGACTGCGGCAATGTGACTATTCAAGTCTTTTTTATAACTGAAAGATTTTCCACATTTCTTACACATGTGCTCTTTGAGTTGCAAATGAACTATATCAATGTGCTCCATAAGATTACTTTTTCGCCCAAAATACTTGCCACACTCTTCGCACTTGTAATCTTTGATTTTTTTATGAACCGTGGCAATGTGTTTATTCAAGGTACTTTTCGTACCAAAGGACATTCCACATTCCTTACATATGTGTTCTTTTAGTTTCAAATGAACTATATCTATGTGTTTCAACATATTACTTTTTTGTCCGAAAGATTTTCCGCACTCTTCGCAAGTATGTTGTTTGAGTTTTAAATGAATTACATCAATGTGCCTCATCAGATCATTCCTTTGTCCAAATAACATATCGCACTCTTTGCATTGATGATCTTTGATTTTCAAATGAACTCCGTCTAGGTGTCTCAGTAGTCCTTTCCTTTTTTTAAAAGTCTTGCCACATTCGAAGCATTTGTGTTCCTTCATTTCTTCATTTTCCATTTTCTAATGGAACAATTCAACGTGATTATTCAACTATGAGTTGTATCAAAAAATTGTTGAGCTTCGCCGAAAATTTTTTGCAAAATCGTCTCACTTTAAATGAAATTGATTGCAATCCTTTTTTTTCTTGTACTGAACATTTGAATATGCTAGAAAAATGAATTTACTTTGGAGAAAATTATTACAGATTTAAATTAGACTAATATTTGATCCAAGCTCAAATTTTGAAAGTTTTCGTACGTACAAACCGACATCTCACAGAGACCAATATTTAAGAGAAGCAAAATGAAAACAATAATATGTTGTGCTGTGTTTACATTTAAACCGTGACACAAACTTTCAATCATACGAATCATCGACTCGAGTGACAAAAATTCGTTTTTCCACAGGTGCACTTCGTGAAGGAGCCGTTCCTCTTCAACATGGTCTGGCAGATGTTCAAGCCGTTCGTGCGCGAGAAGCTGAAGAAGCGCATGTTCTTCCACGGCACGAAGATGTCGTCGCTGCACAAGCACATGGCGCCTACGCACCTGCCGCAGAACTACGGCGGCGAGCTGCCCGCCATCGATTACACGGGCGCCGACTGGTATCCCACCATACTCAACCACGAGGATTGGATCAAGAGTAAGCAGCGATATACATATAATATCCGTGTACTTCGGGACTGATTTTTCACGCTGCGATCGTTAACCCGAGACACGTAGAGAGAAAGAGATCTGTTTTATATTATCCGACTCGTAATGTACCCGAGACACATGCGCGAGTTCGAACGCGTAACTGGATAAACGTAAAGCACGAAAAATGACTTCCTTTCCTCTTTTCTTTGGAAAATGAATGGGCTAGAGAGTCGAACAAATTAAAAGTGTCCACATGCAAAAGTCATTTATTCAACGCAGCGCGCAGTACCTAAAGATTTTATCGCGCGCCCACTGACCGGTGAAAGTCTCTAGCTATTTTCTGCGCGCCTGCACAATTTTTGTTGTTTGTTTAAACGTCAGCATTATGCAACCTCGCAGTTAGGAACTCTTCTGTATACGTGTAGCCGTTCCAGAAGGAAATATTTTTTTTTTCAAAGAGCCGATTGGACCTTGAATGATTCTTTACATCGTTGCAAACGTGCACCGAATTGGGCAACGAGAAACTTAGCCGCGAGAGCCGCGCGCGCGCAATGGAAAAGCTAGAAAATCGCATGGATATATAATTAGAAAGATAAATACGCGAGGCATGCGCGTGTGTTCGCGTCGATACATGCATACATACACATGTTTCGCCACGCGCGTCGCGCGGATGAACCGCGAGCACGATCGCGTGGAAAATCAGATCGAAAATTACGCGCGCATAAAATGTAAGAATTTCAGAAAACTCGATTTATTCATTACCGTTTCTGTCTGTCTGTTTTGCAGGTATGAACTCCTACGGCACGAGGAAAGATTGAACGCGACGAGAACGAAGATGACTGTGATCGCTCTGACTTCGAGGTGCTTTCGTAATGATAATTTTTTTTTTTTTTTTTTTGTTAACGCAAGGATGAGAATTTATAACAAGCGCAATTTTTTGTCTTCCCGATATTATAAATAAATAAATAAATAAATGAATATAAACAATTTTGTAAAACGTCGCGACGCTGAGCGTATTAAAGTAAATACGTATATGAATAATATTTATATTTTTTAACCGAGTCCGTTACTTTTATTATTATTTATGTTTTCGTAATTGTAATTGTCAAAGGTATGCAATTGCAGTATAGTTGTTGGATTCGAATGCAGCACATCGTTACACGTTGGACACGTATGCAAATAAATATAATAAACATACACATTAATTTTTTATTATCATGTGCCTTGTTGATGATATAGATAATAATAAAAATGTAGAATTGGTATGACATAAAAAATCACGAGTGCGTCTGTTATTTTCCCCCGCCTACTCGTGAACACGCTTTTTAACATCGAAAAAGAAAAATTGTAATTCAAAAATTCCCCCCGCCCCTAATCTCATATATTATAGACGCGCGAAGGTTGAAGCTCGCCGAATGCATCAAGTTGAAGTTTACGAAGCTCACGCACGCGCGTGCCAGCAGCGGCAGCAGCGAACTTATGAATTTTTCAATCGATCCGAATGAGAATACACGCGAAGAAACAAAGTCGAAAATTGCGCGAATATATACATTGTTTTCTTCGAGCCGCGGCGCGTACATGACGTAATCTCGACTACATGTATAAATACCTAAGGCGAAGCTCGAGACGGGCGCGATTTTATGGTCTTGAAAAATATGGACGAAGCGTCAACGAGGATAAAACTGGAACGCGCCCGCGTGTTTCTCTCTCTCTCTTTCTTTCTTTCTTTTGCGATTTACCGGTGCGTTTCCGGTATAATCAGCTGATGCGCGCGCGCTGCAGAAAGAGGCACAGGATCACTTTTCCTCGCCGCTTCGAGACTGCGGAAGGGAATTAAACGGTGGAAAGCTCGTTCGCGCAGCGCGCATAAGTATATAATTGATTCGAACTAAAAAAGCTCAAAGAAAAAAGGAATAAGAAGAAGAAGTAGAAGAAAGATCGTTGCTGTGGTGCGCAGCGCCTCAAGAATTTGCAACAGACCGACCGATCGGTTATACGGATCGCAGAGAAAGAGAGAGAGAGAAAGGCCGGTGTCGAGGTGGGTGGGTGGGGGGGATCGGCGCGGTCGCTCTAACGAGAAGCAGAGACCGGCAAATACTACACGCACACATACACATCGCAGCTTTTTTGCAATGTGTGTATACACATATATATATCTATGTGAGTTAAAGTCAGTCGCTGTGTAGTCTTTATGGAGAAAAAGACTCGGGGGCTCTCAACGTCGCGAGCCGATGTGCAGTTGTATGCGCGAACTCGACGGCAGCACAACTCGTCGTCGTCGTGGTCGTGTATAACAGTGCGATCGAACTCGTGATATACAGTGGCTGGTCAGTAAACACTTGTAGCCCTTCTTAAGCCTTAATATACACACGGCGTGACATCGACCGAGACGTATCCACGCCGTTTATTTATTTATTTATTTATTTATTTATTTATATTTATTGATATTTTTTGTGTCATCTCGCGTACCGATACCGATTAATTGAATAACTACATTGTCCGCCGAAAGAGGCCTAGAATATTCAACAAAGTTTTCGTCGTCACTCGAAAAATAAGAATGTTGTATGTATATAATACAATCGGCATATAGTGTGCGTAAAATCGCGCGTGAGAAAATCGGCTACCGGGGGCAAAGTCAATGCCTCATCATGCGACAATTGTTCAGTGCGCGTAAGTGTGTGTGCGTGCGTGTGTGTGTAATCGCGATTATTACAGTGTCGTCTTCGTTAACGTGTGTGTGTGATATTTAAATTTTTTTCCAATGAATATTTTCGTTTCGCTAGAATTTCGCTTTATTCATTTTTTTCAGATATATTATACCTTTTAATTCGCAACGGTTAATTTCGCCGCGTGTCTATGTGTGCGTGTGTGTGCCGTTATGATAAGTATCGTATATAGATGTGTGTGTACGTGCACGTTGCACGGCGTTCGCACTCGTTTTCCGACTCATTTCAGAGCCTCCTCCTCCTGTGTGTGGGTATAATATCCACATGCACTCGGTGCGTATGCACACACACACACATATATAAAATTCGAGGCCTTTCTCCGGGCAGCAGGAATAACGTCGTAGTGCGCTTGATGCTGCGGGCCGAGAAAGTTTTTTGTTGCGGCTTTTTTTTTTTTTTTTTTTAATAAAGATCGAGGAAGTAAACGTACATATTTATTTTCTTCTAATTTTTTTGTTGTTGCTAATATTTTATTCATTTTTCTCTTTCTCTCCGTCTGTGTGACTTGCGGTTTAATTCGATGACATTTTAGAGAAAGTATATAAACGGGTAATTTTTCTGTGTTAGTGTCGTTTTGTGTATGTGTGTGTGCACGACGTTAATATACCTGAAGAGAGGTCAAAAGTTCGCTTCCTGTGTGTGAGTGTGTATAATCGACAGAGCGACGATTTGTGTGCTTACATCGTGTGGATACATTTTCTACTAAATTATTTACCAAAAAATCTTTTTAGTTTTTTTTCCTTTACTTCTATTCGCATTAAATAATAGCTCGATAGCCGACGAGACGCGACCTTTGACAAAATATTCGGAGAGAGACTCGAGTGACTCGAAACGCTTAAATTTTTTTCTTCTTTTTGCAGGCCATAAACTAGTTTGGAGAATATTATAAATTCTCAGAAAAAAAAGGCAAACGCGCGAGAGAAAAAAAAATTAATACAAGACAAGAAGAAGACGAAGAAGAAGAAATATAATGACGAGTCAGGCGGAAGCAGCCCAGAACGGCGGCGGCGGCAGCAGGCGGGCCAGGCTGCGCGAAAAGCTGAACTCGGTCAGCCATCCGATGATCGGCGGTCTGCCCTTCAGCCTCGACTTCAACGAGCTCAGCGACGAGTGGAAGGCCTACGCGGCCGAGGAGCTGCGCGAGACGCCGGAGAACGTCGAGGAGGGCCTGAAGATACTGCGCGAAAAGCTCGCAGGTCGATCATTTTCCTTGTTGCTGTTTTTGTTTTTTTAAAAAAAATTCCCCCAACGAAAGGAGTGCGTTTAAAGAAAAAAAACTTATAGATATTTCGACACCTCCGTCGAGCTGAGCAGTATACGGTATAGTACGAGAGCACAGCTGCGTGCACGGAAGATTTCACTCTCGTTCGTTCAACTCGCTATACGCACGCACACATTTTGTTGCAGTATATATACAAAACTAGTTCGCGCGCAAATACCGAGTATATATACACAAGCACTTTCCGCCTTGGTTAATAATTAAAAGTAATCATAGAGAGCTCGAGAGAGAGAGAGAGAGAGATAGAGAGAGGATAATTATGATTTCATAGATACACTTTCGAGCGCAAGAGGAAAATCGGAAAATCTTTCGACCTTGAGGATATTTTATTTCGGATATTAAAATGACGGGGAAATTTTACCGTGTAGGTATATATAGAGCTCGATCGTCGTCGCTGATCGATCGAGAAGCGCCGAGAATCGGACGACGCGATCGATTCGGAAATTCAAATGTGCTGTTAACACTTTGGCCTCGGGGCGCGCGCAAAATCCGAGGAGCGAGAGCGCATAATGTAATACACATTTAAGCGTACGTGGTAAATATCGGTATGTATAGCGAACGGCTGAGAAATTCAATAGCAGTGGGGATTAGATCCGTATTGGAGACTTTTTTTTTGATAAATACTCGAAAGTTTCCTTTTTAGATAATAGAGTTAGGCTCGTGTAAAGGATGACGAATAACGAATGTCGATGATTTTTTTTTGCACGCAAAACAGGCGAACCGGATCTGGTGGTACCAACGAGCCAGGAACATTTGGAGAAATTTCTGCGACCCTGCAAGTGGTATCCCGACAGCGCCTTTGAATTGGTGAGTCGAGCTGTAACAGATTTGCTGCTGTACATAGCAAAAAAAAAAAAAAAAAAAAATGAAAAAAATTCACTCGCACGCGGGTACTGATAATTAGAAGTTGCTTTTAGGAGTGTTAGGAGTGAGAAAAATGGTAATACTTCAAAAACTTGATAGGTATTTGCTGCATACAAATTCTGAAAAAATTTAAGAATGTACTCCTTGATCGAATCTAAGACATTTTTGTTTCATAAACTTTTCTGACAAACTTGATAGTTTTTGAGAAAAAAAATGTCTTAGAATCGATCAAGGAACATCCTCTAAATTTTACAGCATTTACCACCAGGATTTTAATCATTAAGAGCCTCAAGTATTTATAAATCAAATACCTATCAAATTTTTGAATGTACCACCTTTGTTATTTACTCGTTACATTTATTTTACCTCCGCTGCTCAAGCTTTTTATACAAAATTGCCAATACGTATGTCGCAAGCTCAAACTTAAAATTCACTTTTTTCCTTTCTTTTTTCTGACGTCGTAACACACACACACGCATACACAGATGAAACGCTTTTACAAGTATCGCGCTAGCCATCCCAAGTACTGCCAGGACCTCACCCCGACGAACGAGCGCACCGTGATCGTGTCGGGGGTGCTGTCGCCCCTGCCCAGGATCAACGACGACGGCGTGCGCGTCTTCCTCATCGAGGCCGGCAAAAAATGGAAGCCCAAGGAGGTCACGCTCGATCAGATGTTCCGCGGTGTCATCTTCTATCTCGAGGCGGCCATATCCGAGCCCAGAGCCCAGGTATAACTTTTTTTTTTTTTTTTTTTTTTTTTTTTTTTTTTTTTTTTTTTTTTTTTTTTTTTTTTTTTTTTTTTTTTTTTTTTTTTTTTTTTTTTTTTTTTTTTTTTTTTTTTTTTTTTTTTTTTTTTTTTTTTTTTTTTTTTTTTTTTTTTTTTTTTTTTTTTTTTTTTTTTTTTTTTTTTTTTTTTTTTTTTTTTTTTTTTTTTTTTTTTTTTTTTTTTTTTTTTTTTTTTTTTTTTTTTTTTTTTTTTTTTTTTTTTTTTTTTTTTTTTTTTTTTTTTTTTTTTTTTTTTTTTTTTTTTTTTTTCAAAATCGACGCCTATCGTTTCGTAATTAATATTTTATTTTTGCCTCGCGGTTCTCGCAAAGGTCTGCGGCGTCCGAGTGATCGTCGACATGGACGGCCTGTCGCTGTCGCAGGTGACGCACTTCACGCCCAGCTTCGCCGGCGCCGTGGCCGAGTTCGTCCAGCGCTGCCTGCCCTGCCGGCTCAAGGGCATACACATCGTCAATCAGCCCATCATCTTCAATATGGTCTTTGCCTTCTTCAAGCCCTTTTTACACGTGAGTTATATCATTGAGAAGCTATCCGTAAAAGTCAAGAGTATAATTGTTATCGATCGCTTTTTTTTTTTGTTCATCGTATAGGAAAAGATGCGCAAGAGAATCGTGTTCCACGGCACGAACTGGGGCTCGCTGAGACCCTTCTTCGACGCCGCGACCCTGCCCAAAAAGTACGGCGGCGATCTGGACTTCCCCGAGGACCCGCTCCTGAGCGAGAAATTCTTCTCCTACGTCATGAATTTCGAGGACGAATTTTTAGGTCGGTATTAATTTCTCTGTTGATCCAACTTTTTGATATATCTAATAATTTCATACCCTTATTTTTCGATTGCAGCGTCGAGTAAAAATGGATACGTCAAGCCGCAAAAAAGTTGAAGCACATAATTCACCGCACACACCATGAAGATGGACGAGTTTTTTTCTTTTCTTTTTTTTTTTTTGTCGTTCGTAATACCAACGCAAATTACACGCTGCGCAGCTTGGTAATGCAGAAAGAAAAGTAAAGGAAAAAAAAATTAAGAAACACACAGACACACACAGACGGAGAGAAAAGTGCAATCAGTGACGATGACCAGCGCGTGGATTACAGTACATATTTTATACCGTGTATATTTAAATACATTCCTTATGTAGTAGCAAAAAAAAAGACAGTGCGTGACGATGGCCGTTACATATATAGGCATATTATTGCGCAAGCGCATTGACCTCTGGAGAACGTGGGGGAGGATTTTTTTCAATTTACGAAAATATCACGATCTTTAAATCTGATAAATTTCACACTTCAAATAGTTTATACCCCCCCCTTGGTCCTCCGAAGCTCGATCGATCAGATGTAGCGGTATAGATTGTTCATATAAATATTATTGTTTTTATATAGCGAAGAAAAAAGAGATATATACTGCTGAGAGATTTCATCGTGTTTCGATACACAAACGTTACATAGGAAATACAAATGAATGATTAACCGATTTACAAAATAAATTAAAAATTACAACTATATGTCACATCGATCATTTAAATGTATCTTTTTATTATCCGAATGAATATCTATTGTTGTTCACCGGTCCTTAGCCCACCACTACCACCAGTGGTGCCCTTGCGAATCCAGTCGATGTACTCGGAGACGCGGGTGTACACCGCGGGGTACTTCATGCTGCCGCAGTCCGGGTCCTTGATCGACCAGGACACGACGCCGATGAGCTTGCCGTCGAGGGTGAGAGGACCGCCCGAGTCGCCCTGCGCGAAACATCATATAATTGTTATTCATCAATGACGATATTTTAACTATTGTAATATGATGAAGTAATTTTACGTTGCACTGTCCGCGTCTCTCCGAAGTTCTGTTATTGATGGCGCACAGATTGGTCTCGTAGACGCTTATCTGATGCTTCTCGTAGCTCGCGACGCATGCCCGCTGGTTCACAGTGTACAGATCGACGATTTGCAATCTGTCGGGCGTCGGTCCGTGCTGAGGAGAAAAATTCGTTGATCTAATTTGTTTTTTTTTTTTTTACACTTATCACATTATTGTACGATACTCACCACGTAGAGATTGCCCCAGCCCGAGAGCTCGGCGCGTCGATTGGCGGCGACCCTCTCGTGTGGCGCCGGCAGCGGTATCGGCGATTGCTTGGCGTTGATCTTGAACGGCGATTCGACCTACAGGTGCATCAGAGGTGCGAATTGTTGTATATAGAACGAATGAGCACAAAAAAAAGAAATATATTTCATACCTTGATGAGAGATATGTCATTGCGATGCTTGGCGTGATCGTAATCCTCGTGGACGACGATCCGGCTGGCGGTTCGCTTCTCGCCGGGCTTCTTGTAGTAGATGGTGCCCGCGATGACTTTGACGATGCTGGGATCGGAGAAGCTGTGCGCGGAGGTACACAAAAAACAATAACGACGGTTAAAAATAGACCGCTGCGGAGTTAGCTATTATTATACATACCGATAAGTGCAATGAGCCGCTGTGACGATCCAGGACGGATTGAGGATGGCGCCGCCGCAGAAGTGTTTCTCGAATATTTGCAGCGATACCTGCCGGGGTGGGATCATAAAAACTCGATTAGATACGTACGCGTGTAATTTAAAAAAAATTTTTTAATTTATCCATTACTTGGAACGGTCTGACGAGCGGACTGGATACGTTTCTTCCATTGATGATGTCCGAGGACGCTCCACCTTCGGCCGAACCACCTGCAATCACTGCACAAAAGTCATTACAAGTATCGGTATAATAATATCGTCTGTATGCGTGTAAGTATATCCTTACGTTCGTTTACGAACAGGTAAACGAGAAACAGCAGCGAGATCCCACGGCGATTCATGATCGAATGTTTACTTTTTGCGAGTGAAAGCGAGCGTGAAATAAACAGCGGCGAAATCTACCTTTTTATATATTACTCGAAGTTTTGACTTAGAAGGAAATTCACGATTGGCTTTACTGTGTATAATACCTCAGTCGAAAGACCATTTTTCATAGTTCGGAAATTGTTGTTTCTGACAGTAAAAACAAAATAAGCCTATCTCGATTAGCTATACGAACGTTATCGTTTTAATGAAAAATAATTGTCCGGGAAAAACTTTACAGGTGTTTTAAACTGTTGCGTTGCCGCGCCGATACATATCGCGTTGAAAATTGAGGAAAAAATGAACCGATTAATGCGGTAATTTACGATTTTCGTGGGCACCATTAATTGTCACGTGCTGTACAACTTAACTTTCTCCCAGTAAATCAATAAAAAACAATTAACCGAACAACGATAGCGTAAAAAAAAAGGGTATAAAATGGCTTGTATCTTTGTCGGCTCATTTTTTTTTTTTTTTATTTTTTCTTTTTACTCGCACACTACCGGAGTCGCTAGTCTCCATGTAAAATACATAATCGAATAAATATATTTGTCATCGCGCGTATGATGTATGTGTCAAGTTCATACGCCACTCAAGCTCAATTCAAGCGTATATGCGCGTACATGCACGCGGAGCATGAGCAGCTCGAGCAGCACGACGATCTATTTTAACCTGTCGTTTGATACATACACACACACGGCCAATTGCAGCGGCTGATTCAATTACATCGCGCCGATTTTTCTTCTTCTTAGTCGTCGCGCGTACTCGAGATCGGTAAGGGTGATCGGTAACTATACTTTCAAAAATTGAGTTGAAAAAAAAGATACAGAAAATACCATCGCGAATCGCAAAAGAAGGACAATTACAATATGATATACTGCTACGTGTATGATTGATCGAGGTTACAGGGCGCTCGCGCAAAAAAAAGGGAGAGCTGATATAATTCACGATCCGGAAGCGCAATCGCTCGCAACGCGTGTGTGCTCTAATCCACACGCACACACACACATACGAGCGCAAAAAAGACACGTACGTGTACTGGCGTTTAGAGTAGCTTTGAATAGCGGCGGTACGCGTGATTTAGTCTCGTCTCAATTGCAGTGTAGTAGGAGAGAGTGTGGGTGCCTCGAAACGCGGGTGATAATAGAAGCGTCGTCGCAGTTCGTCGCGAGGATTCGGCCTTTTTAGTCTCTGCACGCAACAGAGGCGCGTTCGTGGAAAAAAATCAAAATTGGCTGGGATAGATAATACCGATAATGGACTCGCTGCGGTAATAGTTGCCTCTCCATTCGACGTAGTTCAATTCTTTTTATTTCGCAGTTTTTAATTTGATAATAAGAGAAAAAATGAAGATACTCGTGATTAAATTTTTATTGGCCTCGTGCTCCATTATGTTCGCCCGGGCGGACGGAGAGGAGGGATACCGTTTGAAGCACGTCAGTGTGGTAAGTCAAAAAAAAAGAAAAAGAAAAAAAAAGTAGATCGCAGGAGTATCGACCGCGAAATATTTCATGCGTTTTTCTATTGTTTTTAAGATCTTCCGACACGGAGACCGTGCCCCCGATCCCGTGGAGATGTTCCCCAACGATCCCAACTATCAGAACACGTTCTATCCCTATGGTTTGGGCGGATTGACGAACGTGAGTCTCTCTTTTGAACGACAAAAATTTTCATGCAAAACATCAACAAAAAACTAATTTGCCCCCGGCAGGAGGGCAAACGTCGCGAGTATCGCCTCGGCGAGATCCTGCGCGAGCGATACGACGATCTGCTCGGCGAGGTCTACCAGCCGGACGCGATCTACGCGCGCAGCACCGATTATAGACGAGCCAAGATGTGTCTGCAGCTCGTGCTGGCTGCTCTGTATCCGCCCAAGGGTCCGCAGATCTGGCGGGACGAGCTGGCCTGGCAGCCGATACCCGCCGAGTACGCTCCCTCCATCAAGGACTGGTTGATGATACCCGAGGAGTGTCCCGAGTAAGAAAGAACGAAATATCGATTGGGAAACCCGTCGAAAATGACTCCGTCTTGTTGTTTTCTCGATATACGGTATACAGATATCTGAAGGAGCACAAGGACGTGAAGAGTCTGCCGGAGGTCAAGGAGAGGATCGACGAGCTGAGCGAGTTCATGAGCAATCTGACCGAGTGGACGGGCCGCGAGATATCCTACGTCAACGACATGTACAATCTCTATCACATCCTCGTGGCGGAGCAGGCGATGGGCCTGGAGCTGCCACGATGGGCCAAGGAGGTCTTCCCCCGTGGTCAGCTGTACGACGGCATTCAGCTGTGGTACGAGATATTCAGCAAGACGACGCACATGAGACGCACCAATGGAGGTAAAAAAATAACAAAAATGAGAGCGAGTTACCCGCATCACTCGTAATCGTTATGATTTATCGTATACGATGATACGCGTGCAGGAAAATTATTGCACAACGTGCTGAGTCACATGAGCGATCTGGAGCGCGGCCAGCGGGCCCCGAAGCTCGGTCTGTACAGCGGCCACGAGACCAACGTCGCGGCGATCCTGCAGACCCTCGGTTTGTGGTATCCCCACGTGCCCGAGTACAGCAGCAGCGTCGTGCTCGAGCTCCACGAGAAGGACTCGCAGTACTACGTCAAGGTATGCTCTCATAAAAAAAAAAATAATCATAAAATTGTTTCGTTCGATGACCGTACGTATGTATGCGCGTTCGCAGGTGCTGTACTATCTGGGGATCCCCGAGAAGTGGGTGGAGCAGGTGGTACCGGGCTGCGAGGCGGCCATGTGCCCGGCCGACAAGTTCCGCGAGCTGCTGGCCGAGGTGACGCCGAGCAAGGACGAGATGGCCTGCGACAAGAGCGTGGCCAAGGGTCACGGTTACATATTCTGATTCGAGTATTATTGTGCGCGCGCGCGCGTCGAGGACGAACTTTTGGTATAGAATGTGCAAGAAATGGAGAAAGGATAATAATGATAAAATGTAGAAATAATACGAGTAGACGATAAAAATGTCGGGACGACGATGGGCACGACGATTTTTGTGATAATGTTTGTTTCGTATCGTCGTACGTTAAAGTAAGAGCCGATCTTAAATGTGTCCAGTTATGAATATGTTTAATTACAATTATAGATCATTTACTTGTTTGTTTATTTTTTTATTTATAAAGATGACCTTTTTGTCCAGAAGATTCGCGTGACAAGTGTCACATCGTACATCGTAATTATTCCTATGAGAGCTGTTGTTTTCTTTTCGTAAATAAGAAGTATAACTGAGTGCTCAATCTCTTTACGTGCTCAAGTTTGGAATTTGTAATATTATAAGAAAACAGCAGGCATATTTGTGTTGACTTACAAGGGGAGCTTTTCAGGTCATGGTCATGGATTTGCTCCAAAATTTTTTTGTGGTCTCCTGGTACCCAATACTGAAGATCCCTGTGCTTAAGTTTGATCCAATGGGCCTTAGGGCCCATTTTTTAAAGGATTTTCCACATTATAAAAAGATCTTTGTTATTTTCTACATCGATACAGAAGTACTTAAACAAAAAATGCAAAAGTCAAAAGTTTTAAAATTTTTCAAAGAATCTGCTTGAATTTTTTCTGACTTTTTGGGACCATCTACCACTCTCTTTAGGGAGTCCTAAAATCTATTAAAATACCATCAAATTTGGGCCTTTCGAATTGAGTGATAGATGATCCCATAAATTCTGAAAAAATTCAAGCAGATTCTTTGAAAAATTTTAAAACTTTTGATCGTAACATTTTTTCGTTTAAGTACTTCTAAATCGATATAGAAAATGTGGAAAATCCTCTAAAAAATGTGCCCCAAGGCCCATTGGATCAAACTAAGCACAGACCGCAAAAAAATTTTGGAGCAAATCCATGACCCGGACCTGAAAAGCTCTCCTTGTTAGTAAATTTCTAATGAAATTCCTCAATCAGTTTTTTTTTTTTTTGTTAAAATTAGATGATCGATGTTCGTAAAGTATTACTATATAAATTTTAGTTTAAAAACATATTTTTTGGCCTGTGCGTCCGAAAATCGAGATGAGATATTACACAAATAGGTATCATCATAGTTTTTGAACATTTACAGATCGTGACAAGTGTATAATTCTGAGATATTTTATCTCTATCTTGTAAGAATTATATGTTGCGATGAAAGCGCGAACATCGAAATCTTAGAGTCTCGCCGGTCTCGCGCTCATTTTTTTTGTTTATTCATTGTGATCGAGTTCTATCACGACGTTCCTCGCCTTTTTTTTTCCATAGATGTGTTTGATGTTCGTAGACACCTCAAGCCGGTACTACCTATCAATGCGACGGTTTTCGCTCTGATAGCTAGTATCAGTCTGAGGTGCGGCTAGAAAACTTGAACCTAAGATAAATATCAAAGATGATCTTCTACTTCAAATGATTGTGTGATTGTCAATGAAAAAAAATCGAAATTCATGTTTATATTTTATTTATTTGAAATTAATATGGTCAATGTACAAATATTTAAGTTACATCAGACATTGGAAATACTGCAAATATTCAATAAATCTTGGTTAGTTAGATTCTCGATGATTTTTTCACAGCACTCAAATGGCAATCGTTGGTGTATCAGCTCCATGAAGCATTCCAGTCCCCAAGCTCGGAAAAATCCTCTCAACAGTATCGAGGCCATCGCTTCATGAATTCCCGTGGGGAAAAACCCTAATAATCTTTCCACGATCATGTAAGGAACATATGTGAGTCGTCTCGCCGCTTCATCGGGTCGTAACCGCATAAAGTCGTAGATCGACAGATTTTGAAGTATCCGTATTTTTTTTGACTTTTTCTCGTATAACTTGTCATTGATCCAAGTTTTGTCAAAATTCACCGAAATCTCAAACAATCCGTGTTTAGCGAAGATTTTCATGATCGTCAATGCGTCGCTTCGGGCCATTTGGTACTTTCGGTTTTCCAGGTGCTGAATGATGCCAAAAACATCAGAAATTAATTCCAATTTAAATTCTCTTTTTAAGACTGCATATACATTAACTTGGTGATTTAATTTGTGCAATTTATATGATTCGAAATACTCGTCGAATTCTTTTTCAGTGGGGAAAACGAAGCTAGACAAATCGGCACCATCATTCAAAATGTCATAGACGGCATATGGCAAAAGGTTCGCCACGGCCCATTGCAGCATTGTCCGGTCCTTCTTGTCTCGTGCATCAACCTGTACTGGTTTACCGACTTCTTTGCTAGTATCGAAAAATATCTTAACCAAGCTCTTGTAGTCGCAATTTTTGTAAAGAATTTGCAGAGGAATTAATCCATCATTGTTAGCCAAATTCGTATCCGCGCCTCTTCTCAGCAGTAATTCGACTGCCTTATTGTTACGGTATTCTAGGGCCAAGTGTAATGGTGTGTTACCCAAATTGTCCTGGGCGTTGATTTGAACCGTCTGCTGGTTGTCGTCGATGACCTTGAAGAACAACGCCGACAAGTCATCGTAGCATTTGTCCTTGCAAACTACATGCAGAGGAGTCGATCCTTTCTTGTTAGCCAAATTTGGATTGGCCCGATGTTTCAATAGCACTGCGGCAACGCCCACCTTATTATTCTTCAGAGCCAAAATCAGGGGCGAATCGTCTGTTTCTGTCACGAGGCAATTGGGATCCTGTCCGAGCTCAAGAAATTTCTCGACGATCTCACGGAGGCCCAACTCGCAGGCCACGTGGAAATGCGTGTAGCCGGACTCATCTGTGTAATTTACATCGAATCTGTGGAATATAATAAAAAGATCAGGGACGATTTCTCCTTTATATTCCTTCATCGCACGATGTAGAGGTGTGGTGCGACGCGATGATGGTTTGCCGTTTTCATCAACTTTGGGCTGGTTCCTGTAGCCGGTTTCGATCACAAATTTGATGATCGTTTGTAGCTCGTGCAAATCGCACTTCACAATCTCCGACAGAAGACAATCGATCTCTTCGGGCTGGAAAATGTCTCGGAGGTTAGGAAGTTGGCCCTCCCAATGATCGATCAAGACATAAAATTCGTGGAAAAATCGAAATCGCTCTTTTTCGATTGTCCAATTGCACATATTTCGTAAGTTCTTCAATCTTTCCAGGGAGTCGAAGGAAGACAAATTGACCTCTTCTTGTAAATCCTCGAATGATTCCGACCTGTCAGAGATGGACATTTTTTTGCCTTTTTTACACAACAAAACACACAATCACTTATAATTTAAGATACTTTTTTTTTTCAAGAAAATCACTTGATGAGATCAACGCGATCGATTCGTATACGATGAGGCGTTCTAATGTGTACTGACTGCACTACAAAATGATCTTGTATAGAGATCTATATTGAGCACGTGGTAGAAGATATAAACTTTCACTTTTTTTTCGAAAAATTACCCGATTAATCTGATCAATTCTTAGATGTTCTCACTATGGAGTCGTAACTTCTACTGACTCAAAATGCACTTCGATCTGTATAGAACATACGGTGGATGCTGTACTTTCTCTTTTTACTTGATGAGATAAATCTGATATTTGAAGATGTTCTCGCTATGGTGTACTGACTTGCACTGACTATACACGCGCTATGATCTCATACATATGTGCTGTGGGAGCTACAAAAAATACGTACAATAAGGGAGAGGGAAATCTCGAGGTAGGGGACTCTCGCGTAAATAACATATGCAGCAATAATAACAATAGTACACAGGTAGGCATAAGTGACGCATCCATCTCGTCTTACACTTTCCAATTGCTATCGAATTTTTAAGCGTCTATAACTTGTGAACGTGTGGTTAGATAGGAAACTCGTTCGGGAACGCACGTGCACGAGAAAAAACGAGATACACGAAGCTATAAAGACGTTGCCTTAACCCATTAAGTTCTAAGAGGACGTTTATTCAACACTTTATTCGGCTACTGTTTTTTTTGGTGAAAATGGGGTAAAAGAATGTGAGCGTAACTAATTCTAATGTAAAATTTAATGCCCTTTCAGAATCTGATCTCAGATTTCCGAAAAAATGATCAGGTCGAAAGTTAAAGTGATTTTGAAAAAAGTTTTTTTTTTATTTTTCGAATTTCCAAATGGAAACCATTTGAAATCTCAGGGGTTTCGTACAAATATCGCGTCCTTGATACCTTAACTAAAAGTTAGTGAGGTTTAGATTGACGACATGGAATGATGTCTATTTGATGAATTAGTTATGCAATCCCTCGTTTTCCTAAAAAACCATAACTGTACCCGTTGAGAAATATACTATTTTTAATCAATATGTCCCACGATAAACATAATCGTGAAAATCAGCTGTACTCCTATGATATTCATTCATCGACCTTTTTTTGCGTTGATCGCAGAATTCATTCATTATAACAAACGTATCGAACAAACAAAAAATGAGCATGAGACTTGAAAGTTACTTCCAAATAAATGTATGCAGAAAATGTATTCATGGTCTGTTATATTTACTTTTGATAGTTCTTTTGAAAAATAAAATAGACTAAAAAATTCCTCAAAGAAATTGTCAATAGCATGAATTTTAAATTGCTTTAAATGCTCTAAAAGAGAATGTATAAACGATGATGAATCATTAACTTATTTGTAAATAATATGATTATAAACGATTTTGACGTTGTCCTTCGGATACATTAATCGTGTTAGTAGTAAAAACAAATTAGTTTGAATGTTGTATTTCCCGACGAATCAAGTCATAATAACGGAAAAAATTTACTCTTTTAATCTCTGTGGCACTAAATAGAATGATTGATTGTTTCATTTAATTCAGACACTAAAATGGAAAGTCGTGATAAAAACCCCGAGGAAGAAGTCTCAGAAAATAATTCAAGTGAACAGGATATTGCTGTTTTAGACAGCAAAAAACATGTTGGTGATACTTATCAGGGGGAATTTACACTAGAATCAATCACGATAACTCATCTAAACACAATTCACAATAAGGAGAAAAATTACGCATGCGACAAGTGTGAAAAGACATTTGAGTTTCGAAGTCATTTGAGTAGACACCAAATATCACAACACAAAAGTCGCAAAGATTTTGCGTGCGACCAGTGTACTAAGAAATTTGTGAAACAATCGAGTTTGTTTACGCATCAAAAATTAGTGCACAAAGATCGTAAAGATTTCACGTG